CCCAGTGTCCTTTTGCGTGAAGTCTGGCTACAAACCTTCACAGGGCAGACTGACTGAGGCCACACTGTGCTTGCCCCAGCTCCTCTGATGAACTAACCTTGGAGGATACAGGGTTGCTAAAGCAAACAGAGAAAAGATTTTTTTCACGAACATTTCAAAAAGTTCTGTCGTGTTCCTGACGCTGGCTTGAAGGTGAGAGCAATGGGCTACCTCTCATTGTGTCTGCTTCAGTCTATAACGAGGGCGCTTCTAACATCAGACCTGGTAGAACAGCACGAAGGAGTTAAGGTCAACAAGACTGGGGTAGGGTTTCTGCAAGGGACAAGCACCAGCAAGATTAAAACGTCCTGGAACCACACATGTAAAGGGCACTTCCGAGCCTGCCTGTGGCCAAAAGGGGTCTGATGAGACACAGCAGGAAGCAGGGACACAGACCCCCGAGAGAACCAGGCAGAAGACACGGGCGCACGCGCACGTGTACATAGGTACAGGCACGAGACACACATACACACCCATACACGCAGGTGCGTGCCCACACACACACATGCACGTGTACCTATGCACACGTGCCACACACCCTGCATAGACTCCTCTCGTGGAAATACCTGTTTCATTGAAGAAAATGATGGCAGGTTAACTGATTTTCAGCAACCAAGCTGCACCCTGGCCCTCGGCGCCGCTGTGGGTTAACAAAGCCTCCAGGTGACGCTACGTGGGAGCATCCAGATGCTCTGCCTCCTTCAAAGGCAGTGTCATCCGAAGCCTGAGGAAAACGGCTAGTGATGAAGCTTCCAGCCCACTTCCTGGCTCTCCAAGTATGAGGAAAGGCTTTGGGAGGAGCACACGTTTATGATCAGAAGACTCTTCGGAGGGAAGGAATTCCTCGTGTTCATCTGACCCGACCGCCCTGTTTCAGAGGCAGGTGGAGCCCTGCTGGCCTGGCCCCTTAGCGCTGGTTCCATGGTCCCCCGACCCCTGGGAGCTTGCGAGGTGCAGAGGCCAGGACCTCGCCCTCCCGACCCCATCTCTGCCCCACGTGGAGATCCACAGCCGGCTGCCTGCCTGGCCATGCCAGTAGCATCAGAGGTACTGCTGCTGGGCTGCGGGCACCACCGCTGTTAGGTTTCACATCATGTGTTTCAATAAAATTAAAGTACGCAGAGCACTTCAGAGAGGGCGTTACTGTACCGACTGGAGGTGACAAGCACCCTCCGGCCTCGCAGAAATTCTGCGTGAAAACCTCGGTACTTTCAGGGGCGACAGCCCCACTGACCACATGTGTGGTTTACGCCTTCCTCGGAACTTCCAGAAATGCAGTGCTGGGAGCCTGAGCTCTCTCCCTGCAGGACTCAGTGGAGTGCACACCGAGTCCAGGTCAGCAGGATGTGCCCCCTGCAAGTGGCCTGGGTCACACACAGGAAGAGGACGGTCACGCGGTCCTGAGGGCCAGGCCTGCCCAGAGAGCGCTAAGGTAACGCCTGGTCACAGCAGCCCAGCAGGGAGAGAGGGCCCGTAAGGCACACTGAGGCTTCTGGGCCAGTGGTCACTATGTGGCCAGAGTGAAAGCCCAGGGTTTTCACAGGGAGAGAACAAGGGCTCTGGAAACTCGCCATAACTGCGATATTAATAATAACCCCCGTCGAGGGGCAGGGGTCTGTCTCCTCGACATTGTGGACCCCTGCGCGCTCGTATGCCGGCCACGCTGCGACCCACAGAGAGCCTAACTCTGCCAGGGGGTCGCTCTGCAATGACGAGCAGGACGGTGACCGTAAGACTCCGGCAGCAAATGAGAAAGGGGACGACAGGTATCAGGAAGCACTTTGTAACAATGTTCCTTTTCTTATTCACTGGTCACTAAAAAGGCCCTGGTCTCGGAAATCTCCAGGAAGTTGTCTCTGTCAGATATCCTTTATAATTCTGTTTCCAGAAATCTCAAAATAGATCCAAGAGCCACACCGGCTTCTAGACTTTCCTTCCTCCTCGTCTTCTCCCTTTTTTTTTTTTTTTTTGGCTTTTTTATTCTATGTCAGAGATTTTTCTTGAAAAGAAAGACAGGCCCAATGGTCTCAGATCAAAAGAAAAATATTAATGTGTTTGCTGAGTTCTAAAAACACAAACTCCACAAATTTCTAAGAAAATATGAGAAAAATCCATCAGTGTAAACCAGTGCACTTCTGTTCAAGGTCAATAGTTAAGAGCAGGGCTTCCCTGGTGGCGCAGTGGTTGAGAGTCCGCCTGCCGACTTCGTGCCCCGGTCCGGGAGGATCCCACGTGCCGCGGAGCGGCTGGGCCCGTGAGCCATGGCCGCTGGGCCTGCGCGTCCGGAGCCTGTGCTCCGCAACGGGAGAGGCCACGGCACTGAGAGGCCCGCGTACCGTAAAAAAAAAAAAAAAAAAAAAAAATTTAAAAAATGCAGCTTCACACTCGCCAAGTTGATACTACAATACACCAGCCGATTTCAAAACCAGGAATAATTTAGAGCAAATGCGGATGAATATCCGTATTCCGTGCAGTGGAAGCGCCATTTCAATCTCTTTCTTCCGCTCTCACCTTCACAGCAGAAAGCTCTCGACCTGGGTGTGGTGCGGAATTGGCAGTGGTTGTACCCTTGGGGACAGAGGGATGTAACAGCAGCACCTGCCCGGGGAGCCAGCACACCTGTCTCTGGTCCATCAGCACCAGGGTCCCCTCCCATTCACCGTGAACCCTTCCTGCCACGTGGTCCCGGGGCAGGCTGGGGGGTGTTAAATGCTGGACACAGCGGGTCAGGGTGGGGAAACGACTGGCAAAGTAAATCAGCCGGAATGAAGGAGCCGCTCCTGTCTGAGGAGGGTCCGCTCCCGTTCAGAGCTCGGCTCCAGGGAAAGGCTGCGTCTGTGGGAAAAGACGGTCTGCAGACCGGGAAGCCCTTCTCCGGGCAGCCCCAGCGTGGACCAGACTCAGATCACCCACAGGAGAGGGCTGAAAGCAGACGCTTCAGAGCTCCAACTCCCCCAGATCTACAGTGTCAGAGGTTCCTGATGCCCAGTTATCTCAAACTATGTTGCACAACTAACAATGTCTCTTTAAAGTAACTTTAATATTTGCTACCCTTGGCAACCGAAGCACCAGATAACCTTGACCTCGAAGTTTACAGGTACCTTCGCATTCTTTTTATTTTAATCCTTTTGACTTAAACTAAACTTGTTTTTAGGAAATAAGTTTTGTTTTTACCTACTTCTTATCACATTTTTTAAAGATTTTTTTTTTTTTTGGATGTGGACCATTTTTAAAGTCTTTTTGTGAATTTGTTACAATATTGTTTCTGGCCTATGCCTTGGTTTTTTGGCCACGAGGCATGTGGGACCCCAGCTCCCCAACCAGGGATGGAACCTGCACCCCCTGCATTGGAAGGTGAAGTGCCAACCACTGGAACGCCAGGGAAGTCCCGTCCCTTATCACACTTCTTGTGTCACAAATTTATGGTATGAAATTTCTTCAGTGAGGTGTGAGAATCCCAACCAAGGGAGTTATCCAGAAAAAAATTAGGCTGGATCCAAACACAAATAAGCTAACAATGACATCACCAAAAGGCCATCTGCGCTTAATTCCAATTTACCGTCCCTGTGCAAAAGCAACCCACCATGGGCTCCGCAGAGCTCAAAGTGGGAGGCTCGGGAGAGCGACCTCAACTGTGGGACACAGAGGCCTCTGGTGTCCATGTCCACCCAGACAGATGGACGGCCTCTGGCCTCTGTCTAATGAACCCACCACAGACGCCCATGGAGACTGTGGCCAACACAGAGGCTTAATATGGCGGCTTTCTCATCGTCCTCTGACAGAGTGTTTGATGGGAATTATCCTCCTAAACGACATTTGATGGGGGTTCTCTAAAGGAACAGGGCACCAAAGTGGATCGTAAAACTCAAACTTTACTGCCACCGCCACAGCACCTGTTCTCACAAGCTAAGTCAGCACAGGCCATTGTTTCTAGAAGGTTCTCTAAAAGGTAGATCACCTGATATTTGAATTCATTCTTAGGTCACTTCTCATTTCTCAGCACAGATACCCGAGGTGTGTAACAACAATCAAGGCATAAAGTTACATCCAAACTTTTCTCCAAGGGACGTGTTTAGGGCACACAAATCAGACGCGCGTGGAAGGTGAGTGCTGGGCTGCCCCGACGCCTGTGGGCAGAGTGTCCTGCGGGGTGTCAGCAGGAGTGGTGCCCACGTCCAAGGACCGGCAAAACTGTCTTTGTCACGTAGAGCAGTGGCTCCAACCTGTTCACCTAGGATGTGTCGCCTTATGAAAGGAAGAGCAAATTACTCAAAACCTGGCCAAGCACGGAGTTGAGACAGTAGCTCTTCTTTCTTTGGGCAGATTGTTGGCGCTAACAGCTAAACACCGCAGAACACTGTCTCAAGGGTGTTTTGGCCTGTGTGGCTTTTTTTCCTAGATAATAAGAAAAAGAAGGTTAAATCTCTTTCTGAAATTGACTCTATTTGTGCTTGAAACATCAGCCTGTTTTGCTGAGTCAAACCCTTCATTAACGTGGGAAGCGTTTCAATGTTTTGCTCTAAGCCTGCTTGTTAACTCCAAATCTGCTTCTTAGATCAGGAAAATTGAAAATTACAAGTGTGAAATCAGCACCCCCCCCCAAAAAAAATCACTGAAAATGGCACAGGTGCTATTATACACTCCCCACAGGCTAAAAGGTGAAATGAGACGGAGTTGGAAGAGCCAAAAAAAAAAAACTTCGGTGAGAATAATTTTAAGAGACTTTGGAAACACTCTGTGAAACCCTTGGATAAATTTGTGTCATGATGTCATAAAACATTCTAAGAAAAGAGAGCATTCAACAAGAAAAACAAATGATTCAGAAATGACTCTTCTCGCTACTTGCTCTGAACATAAACCCTTGCCATTTTACATAGAAAACCTTAGCCGAATGAAAATAAAGCACATGGGTGTACATTTCAGTGACTGATTTCCTGAATAAATGATCGAAAGCAACTTACCTTTGCAGTTGCCACGGTAAGCAATCTCTAGCCGGGGGTCTTTGCACTTGGCGCGCTGAAATTCACAGCGAGACAGGAAGGTCCTCCCGTCCGAGGCGCATAGGGGTTTCTGGGCGGGACCCCCGCAGTCCAAACTGCAGTCCTTGTCCTTGTCTTGGTCGACTCTCAAAAACTTGGAGGAGCAAAGAAAAAAGAAGCCAGACATCTCAAAGAGTGTTCGATGGAAAGCATAAGGCTATCTAAGGCCACTTAGTGCCTGGGGATGTCCCAGACACATGGTGGGAGGCTCTGAAAACTCCAACCTCCATCCGTTTCACACATCTGGATAACTGGTAACTTGGTGGCTGAACCCCTGAAGGCTCCACCACTGGCCTGGGACGCCGTCCAGGTCTGCACGGGGGTGCACATGTTCTGCGTACCTTTAATAGTCTGAATAGCAATGTGTTTCTTTGAGTTTGTAAATTCAGTGCCTGGTTGACTCCTGCATTCACCAGGTTTTGCCGTCACCTTGGAAGTCGCGGGCATCGGGAGTGCCCTGCCGGCCTGGAATTGGGGGGCAGTCTCTCCCTGTTGGACAGTTCCACACAATCTCACCTCCGTCCCAGGACCCAGGGCTGCTGGGGTGGTGTGAACACGGAGCCCCTGCCCCAGGGGCCCCTCCGTGCAGTCCCCATTGACCGCTCTGGGGTCCCCATCCTCTGACGGCCCGGACACAGGGCTTCAGAGCTCACAGCATCTCCCAGTGGGGCTTAGATCCGGCCACCTGCTCCCACGCCTGCCCTCCTTGGACCGCTGATGGCGCGCCCTGCCCACCCCCCGGGCTTCCCAACCCCCCGTGCGTCCCACCCTCTGTCCTGTGTAGGCCTCCTCAACCCGGACGAAGCAACAAACACAAAGATGAATCCAATAAAGCTTCAAGCTCTGGGAAGTGGAGCCATCACGAGCCTTTGGTCACTGGAATGTCACCTGCCCTTCACAGGTGTTTGCTCTGCTTTATGGAGCCCGAGCGATTTTTTAAAGGAAAGAGAGAAAACCCCGGGCCGCGGTTACTACTCAATACTCCATAGCAGTGTGTAGAGCCCTGGGCTCCGTGTATATCTGAACAGGTTTATTTGGCATGTTTGCCCCGGTAATATTTACAGGGGCAGAGACAGCTCTACTCACAGCAACCCCCTCCCCTGTCCCAGTCTGAGCTGGAGGAAGAGAGGGAATGGACTTAGCAAAATTGCAGGGACTCATCAACGTGTCCCCTCGTCAGGAAGAGACAGCAAGGATACTCTCAAACTCAGGGCGCTTCGCTCCTTAAAAGGATACCCACACTCTCCCCTTGCGTCTCTGAGGGTCCTAGCTGGCGATGTGTAAAGATCTACCGAAGCTGAAGCTGAGATGAAGCCACAGGGGAAGGAAGGCCCCATGGGGGGACGGCTGTCCAGGGAGCCACATCGCTCCCGGGGTCCAGGCGGGGTCCTCACAGCCCCACCTGGGGTCCTGGGGAGGAAGGGCTGCGAGTGCACCGTGGCAGGGAGGGTGTGAGGGACAATCCCTCGGCGTGTTTGGTTGGGAGCTGAGGTCCCTGGCCATTTCCCGGATTTCTGGAGAAAGGCTCCAGCCAGGAGGCAGGTCATGAGTGCCTGGAGGGGGACGGCTCTTTGTTCAGGGGGCCCCGGACACAGGAGAGACACGTTGCAGGCTCTCAGTTTTCCTGAGAAGAAATTCACTTGCTAAAAGGATCTGTGCTTATTTTAACCAAGAGGCAAGTGAAAACAGATCACTACCTTGCCAAGATTTCGCAACAACGACAAAAGTGTTCTTTTACTAAAAATGGGTAAAGCAAGCCCATAAGCACATTTGATTGAATTCTGTCACCGAGGGGTTTCAACCCCTTGTTTCTCTTTCCCCGAAACTGACTCATGAGAATCAACTCTCCAGCCACCATGGCGCACCCCAGGCAGCGGCAGCTCCCAGGAGACAGGAGCGCCCAGAGCACCGCACCTGAGGAACTCCATCCGCGCGAAACACGGCTCCTCTTACAAAGTCACTGCCTCACCTCGTTCCTCTCCTCACAAGCATTAGAGTTTTCGTAGACTTGTTCTTATGAATCACAGCTGGCCTGGAACAGAGCGGTTTTGTGCAAGAGAAAGAAAGATAGAGAGGCAGAGACAGAGGCCACCAGGGGAGCAAACTTGACGGTGAAACATCTCGGGACCTTCGCAGGCCCAGTGCACGCAGGAGCCCGCCCAGAAGCTGCTCCCTTCAATTTTAGATGAAAACCTGAAATAACCTAAATCCTGCTAATTTTTGTGTTTAAGAGGTGGTCTATTTGTATTTCCTGAAACCCCAAGTGAGGAAATGCGGATGACTTAGGGAAAGCCGTCGTAATTATCTTTTTCTCTCAATGTAGAGAGCCAGCCTCTATTTTTTATTTTTTTAAAAAGCTGAGCATTCACGCGCTTGGAATTTGACCATTATTCTCAATAATTTAATGGTGTAGAACACACAATGGAACTGTTCCTTCTCAGAAATGAGGGAATTCACACTTCCTGCATGTTTCTCCCCCTCCCCGTTTTTAACAGCAATTAAATTCCAGGGGAGACAGTGTACAGAGGAAAATGAGCTTTTAAGGGAGCTGGATTCTTTGCTAAACAAAGCCCTGGAGGGAATATAAAATAGTCCTATTCTAAAGAATTTAGTGTTCACTAAAGAACTTGGTTGAGAGTCTTCAAACTAGCTCAGATAAAAGGCACTTTGTCAAATTTAGAAGGAAATCAATTACACCTTGAACAACACTATTAAAACAACGACCTCAGGGTCCCAGGGCCCCTCTCCTTTGCTTTCAGGAAGCAGGGCTGTCTGCACAGGTGCCTTGTGGGGGAGGGGCAGAAGGAAGCTAAGGGGGTGCATGTGCAGTGCCTGCCTGGAGGTCATGCGACTCCTGCAGTAGAAACAGTAGGTCAAGTGCAAACGGATTAAAGATGTGATCCGTCTTCTGCTTAATAAATGCATGGGTTTAAGCCAGAGGAAAAGCGGGAACAAAATGAAAATATGTAAGAAAAGGGTTAAAACACTTAATACGGATGAATTTCCTCACTGTGATATTGATATCTGATTAGAATATGGAATAACACATGGTATGGGTTAACATCAAGAAAAACACTTCCGAATTACGTAATCCGGCAGCTGTAAGATTTCCCAAAGCAAGAACCTTCTAAATAATGAGCCACCGGAAAATGAATGGAGCTTCCAAGTAAGTGTGTTAGCGTGACGCGAGGACGAGGCTCATACACTGGGGGTGAGATGGGTTAGAACCGTGAGGGCGTCTGGGGCATGGGTGAGTCTGCGGGGTTTGAGAGAGTAAGTGATCTTGTACCACGGGGGGAAGGTGGGGACACCGGGGACACGGTTATAAACACACCTGCTTTGAATGGCAACTTCTCCACTTTAGAGCCTGAGCTTTCGCAGATTTCAGGAAAGAGTTCCCTACTTTTTAGTGGAACAGAGAACCCGCACCTATGACACAAACATGGAGATGGTGTTTTAGAGCCTCGAGCCTGAAGCTGAGATGTTTGAGTGAAACACAGCTGCTGCCCCGAGTTCTCCCCCGGAGACACAGCCACTCACTCATTCATTCACTCACTCATTCGTTCACTCATTCACCCATTCATTCACTCATTCACCCATTCATTCATTCCCTCACTCATTCATTCGCTCATTCATTCTCTCACTCATCAATTCATTCACTCATTCATTCGTCTGCTGGAACTAACAAAAGCCAATCGTGCATGTTTTCCAAACGCTCTCCTGCAGTATGTTAATTGTCTGCCTCTTTTCCACACTCTTCAAGGACGCTGTATTTCTAGGTAGATCAAAAGTCAGGTCCAGCTTGAGCTGAACTTGCTCAGTAAGTGTTGAGGGGCAGCCCGCTGCCAGGCTTCTTCCTGGACTCCAGGAGGGGCGTGGGGTAGGGTTCAAAGGCGGTCCTGTCCTCACAGAGCTTAAGCTCCGGAGAGCAGTAAACACAGCACCACAAAGCATCACGACAGCATCTAGGCCAACGAATAACTATCGTGTGGTGCAGGACGATGCACGATCACCAGGTCACACGAGGCAGAACAGAGTGTCCGAGAGCCCTATGGGAGGGCCTGCTGAATCTGGTGTGGGGTGTGAAAACGCTCCTCAAAGAGACCATCTGAGAAGACCGGAAACGCCCAGGAATGAGACGGGATGTGGCCTGGATCCCAGGGCACAGATCGCCAGAAGCAAATCAAGAACAGAGACTTTGGGATTCCCTGGTGGCGCAGTGGTTGGGAGTCCCGCCTGCCGATGCAGGGGACGCGGGTTCGTGCCCCGGTCCGGGAGGATCCCACATGCTGCGGAGCGGCTGGGCCCGTGAGCCATGGACGCTGAGCCTGCGCGTCCGGAACCTGTGCTCCTCAATGCGAGAGGCCACAGCAGTGAGAGGCCCGCGTACCGCAAAAAAAAAAAAAAAAAAAAAAAAAAA